AATTTTCAAACTATAAACATGATTTTTGAATTGGTGTAAACTAAACACCTTATTTATGAATTTTTCCCATTAATAAACCTAACTAACTCTTAGGGTCCGTTTGATTCAAAGATGGAATTTGAATGGAAAGAAAACGAATTATAGGAAATTGAATTGCCTAAAATTTGTTTTATTGAAAATTATCAATTAATTGTGCTTGATTGGTATAATTTTTTACTTGGAAAATGTTGAAATTTTCTATCTTTTAGTATTCGTTTGACTTTTTTTCATGAAAATGTCAATTAAAGGGATATGATTTTTTACAATTGAGGATATAATTTGTTACAATTGCCAAAAAAAAAATAAAAAAATTGTAAAAAGTTTGTCTTTGTTTTACATGAAAATTATCAATTAAAGAGATAATTTTTTTTACGATTGGAGATAGAATTTGTTTCTATTGCCAAATTAAAAAAAAAAAAAAAGCGAGATGGAATTTCAATTCCCACCTTAAAGGTGGGAATTTCAATTCAATTAAAACCAAGAAAACAGCAAATGTGGAAAACCAATTCCAAGGAAAAAAAAAAAGTGCCATCAAACATGGCAAAAGTAGTAAATGGAATTTCAGTTCCAACTTTCATGGAAATTAAGGGGCTATCAAATAGGCCCTTAGTTAATTGTCAGAGAAATATATGAATCAGATTTTTTTTCTATTTACAAAATTATTATAAATGCATTACTACATGAATAATCATGAAAGTACAAACGGTAAAAAATGAGACTTGCAGAATGCTTCTTATGATTGAACCACTTAAAGTGGAGAGATTAATAACTTGTATTCACTTGAATTTCTCTTCAATCAACGTATTCAAGCCTCTTAAATTATTATGAAAAAACTATAGAAAAATAAAAAGACTGGGACTTGGCAACAAGATGGTTAATGCAGCTAAAAACACATAAACTGTATGCTTCCCTGTCCATAAGAGTGATGTGATATCAGTTGAACATATCGGAAGGAAAGGTTGGCCAAAACGAGGAGCCTATGGCAGTTATTGAACATCTAGCAACGAACCAAGCATGGTAGAAAAGAAATTATGTAGCCAATCCCAAATTTATAGGAAAATAGGCTTAATTCGTCATTAGCAACAAGAAGCTGTGGAATTTATACAGATAACAGAAGGTGGGGAGGGAGAGGGCCAGCACATCCATTAGACCAATAAAACAAACAGATAAACAAAAACCATTTTAAATCCGTAGCATCACCAGACAAACAAATAACTTGCTGCAGCAACAGTAGCATCATTAAACTCAGCATTAACCTCTACCAATGAAAAAACATTTGAGATCCGGCATAATGAAGAATAACTAAAATTACAGAACAATCAAAACGTGTTCTGAAATTTTTGAGAAGCACTAGTGATGATATTGTACCAAAAAAGTTGTCATATATGCACATGTTTACAATAACCTTCGAAACTAAGATGGATAACATCAAACCTCAAGCAGCAAGATGCAGAAGTCATCTCATTTGTGATGTTCAAGAAGCATGTCGGGAAAATACTTTCTCTATCTTAAGTGTGAGAAAAAGAAAACCCACGACTGAGATGCAGAGTGCAGTGAGCATAATCACAACCATTGTCTGAAGTGAAATATTTGGACTCAAAAAGTAGACAACTGCAATTGAAATGCTTTGACAAAGATTAAGCTGTGCAAATGCTCCCTCCTGCAACCAGAACTCAGGTATGAGACTCCAAGCACCAATTTAAGATACAATAATATTACTCGAGAAGCCAAGCAAGCAAGTGGACGAAGCAGTGTGAAGCCCAGTTATGGAACATTGAAAGAAATGACACTCAATTTTTTAAGCGACAAAAACACGTTGAACATAATTGGGATGCAATATCGTACCGTAGACGGTACATAGAACAAGATTTTAGTTTCTTTTTCTTTCTCAGTACTGTCTAGTGTTTTCTAATAACATAATACTTTTGTTTGCAAATGAAACAGTCTGTTATAGTTTACAACATTATGCAAAACATTGTAAATTTGCTTAAAGGTTGAACATCTAGATCCTTTTAGCATTGTAAAAATGGCAGAAAGTGGAGAAAATTTTACCAGGTCGTGCTTGAATAGAATTCCAAGAAAAGCACTTAGCTGAGTGTTCAATACACCATTACCTATGCCCCACATGCCTCCGATGAGAAGTAGGTATAATGTACTGAGCAGTCCTCCGGAGATACTAAATAAACGAGACAAAAAATTACTAAAATGATAATTTGTTAGGCTTAAAATTATTTAAATAAGTTGGCACTCTGGGTTCTCCAAGAGTGGAAGTTGATAGGAGGGTCAACCTGTAGTTCAGCAGGAGCAAACACAAGACAATGGCCTCAATGAAAGCTCCAAGAGAAACTATTATTGTAATTGATAAGAGACCCGAGGTAAGTCGACCAGCTGCAACCGAACACTAAGACAATTCCAATAACAAGATGAGAGAGTAAAGAAGCTGGCATAGTATTAGAATATGTGTTGCTAAGCTTACAAGTAAGTAAAAGTTACTATTTAAGTAATTTTTTGCCACTGAACATGTTTTTGTAGTTTTTTTTTTCTACTTCTAAGTAAAAAATTGCTTATTTTGAAAGTAACTATTACCCTACTATCAAATAAGTAACTTATTTCCTCATTTAACCATTAAGACTTGGTTATCTGCTTGCAAATAGCCTTCACTCATAAGTAAACTTTTAAAACTTAAGCGAACACACTCTTAGTAGAAGCAGGTCATTACATTGGGAGATACTCCTTTCGGAGCAGCCCACAACTTCCAAATGTGATACTATTAAAGTCAATTTCTGGATGCCACATATGATATAATGAGTATGCCATCCACAATACCAGAAAATCAAAAATACAGCCTTCAACGAGTGAACATGAAGAAATTGCATATAGAATTTTGTGGAAAATGATGCTATACTTCATACTCACGCAAGCAGTAAAACACGAGCAAATAAAAGAAGAAAAAATAAACAAACTTACCATTCGAAATCTCCTATAATATAGGAGGGGCATATCAGCCCAATGGTAATTGCTAAAGAAGACAGTAGCAGAACAAATACTTGTAAGGATAGCTCATGAGTTATTCAACTCATCAGATTTCAAGTCCAACCCAGTCAACAAAAAGAGAAAACACTTGATTCGCTAGCCCAGGATATATGTAAAACATGTTAAACCACCTCATTCAAAAGCTTTAGTTTAGAGAGGAGAAACTTATTTATTTAGATTGTCTTTACACACCCCTTCATCATTTAAGTTGGATTAATTTTTTTTAATGGCCTAACACTTGCACAATTTTTAGCTCTTGTTTATTTCCCATCATTTTCAAAATACATTTTTCTCTCTCTTATTTTTAACCACAAATTCGTCAATAAAATAATATTACACGCAAACCCAAAACTCTTTCTTAATTTTTAACCACACATTCTCCATCAAATCACTATTCCAAAATGCATTTTTGGCCAAAAATAAATCTCAAACAAGCTCTTATAAACGGGTGTGGCTAGACTTGAACAGAAAACATGTATTTATTCTAATAACTTATTGAATCACATTATCTAAAAAGTTAATATCGGTGAGAAAAAATTCATTTATTTAAATTATGTCTTCAACACAAATGTCTTCTTTATCAGAATATAAAAGTTACAACTAGAGTTGTCAATGTATTGAATTTTTATCGGAATCCAATTAAATTAATGAGAGATGAATTTAGGGTCTCAGTTCGATAACTCAATCGAAATCCAAATTCGATAATCCGTTTACTGAATTCATCAAATATGGATATAGGTAAATCCGATCCAATAACCCGATCCGATTTGTTGTAAATACTTGAATCGGTAAAATATTTTTACGACATGTTATTTGATAAATAAATGAGAAAATAAAGAAATTTAGAATAAAAAGTCATCAAATTCAAAACATAAAAAAATAAGAAAGTTAATCTACGTGTACACAGTGTTCTAAAAAGCGTAATACGTTACGAGACATAGAAGTTTCAGGTTAGGAGAGTCTAGACTAGGAGTAAAAAACCGTAAAAATGTATTTTCTTGTTTTAATATTATTTTAGATTTTTAATCAATCTAAAAATTATTTATCAATCAAATGTAGTTTTAAGAGTTCAATAAAATAAATATATTCAATAAACAAGATATAGTATAATAGTGCTAATCGAAATATTGGAAGAGTTTTAAATTTTTATTAATTAGTAAAAGATAGAAAAAACGACTAATTTAATAAATTATAAATAACTATTTATATAATAGTACAATACACTATAATCAAATCAAATGTACAATATATTACAGTCAAGTCAAAGGTACAATGCACTATAGCCAAACTAAATGGATTTTAATCCCAGATCGAAAGTTTATAACAAAAAGCTCGAAGATGTCCTCTATAAATGAGTCAATAAATGGATAAGCAATTTTTTTGTGCCTTTCAATCCAATTGGCTAAAATTCGAAAAAATTGAAAAACTTATAATTATTAAACCCGTTTAAGAATTGGAAATTTTGGAAAAAAATAATTTAAAAAAAATGTTAATTTCAGCATTGATTTCATTTTCCCGATCTCTTTAATTTTGGATTGGATATCCAATAACATAGCAAATCGAATATAGATTTAACAATCAAATATCCGTTGGATTATCGGATCGGATAATTATTATTATCAAATCGGATCGGATATTAGTAGATCCGTTCCACATCCGATCCATTTACGTCCTAATTACAACTGGTATGTATTGCATTTTGTACTTACGATAATATCAAAGACCCCATAAACAGCCATGGCACCACCAACACCACGCTCGCCAAGTGTAGGCTTGATAAGATGTTTGGTATACTCCGCCCTGTAATGGGGAAAAAAATCATATTCTGTTAGAGAAACAGATTAGCTAATACAAGCCTACAAGCCTGATACTCATACAAAATGAGAAAGCATTTGCATGATAACATTCTAGAAACCTTACCATACAAATGCTTGTTGTAAGCCTGAATATGCTTGAAGGGGGATGACCAAGAGGATTCTAATGTCGAGTAATAGAGACAAAAATTACAAAATAGTCTTGAAAAGAGATGCCACTGAAGAAGAAAAGGTGGCAGAAGAATCTTGCAGTTCTTCCTCTTTATCATTTCTTTTACTCAAGAAGCACATAAGAATTGATCCTACGGTCGAGCTACAGAGAAACATAACAAAAAGCAAAGTTGTGCCTGTGGTTTTCCCTCCCTGTGGATAAACTGCTTAATCAACTAGTAAATTCAAATATATATAAAGGTGAACAGTATAAAATTCTTAACTTTCAAATGTGAGTATGTCCCTAGCACTCATTGCTCGGTTATGCATGAGAATTCACCACATACACCCTCAAAAAAGGGAAAATGTTTAACGAATCCTTTTCTTTCTTTCTTTCTTTTTGATCTAAATTGTTACTAAGTGTTGCTTCAGAGCTCATAAAGAACCGGACAAAGCATAGGTGAAGATATTAACACTGATTCCTGCCTCACCAAAGGTAATTGTATGTTGTGCTTAAATTATAATTAGCATTGATTTTTTTTTTTACAAATGTGACTATAAAAGATTGATAAATACAATAGTAAAATCCAAATTGCAAGTATGTGTACCTTTCCATCTCTTAACAAAGCAAGAGTGATAAGATTGCCAACGAGCTACACAATCCAGTTTGGAAAAGAAATTTTTGGTAACATATTAGAAATATAAACTAGTAGTTAGAAAGTGAAAAGTCTAACTACTAATAGTTTCTCGGGAAAAGTAATAACGCTGCACCTGGTTACATGCATACATCCCATAAAACTCTCCATTAAACATTCCAATCACTGTTCCTTCATGCAAATCATAGTCATCTGCATGACTATGTGCGGTCGAAGTAAGATACGTCCCCTGAGAAAACATAAAGGTTATTAATAATATTAACTGGACAAACCAATCAATGATGAAACGGAAGTAGATAGTGTGTTGAACCTGCCCAACCCATATCATTGAAGTTGCAAAACCAAGGAACAAAGAAGCCGGAACCATAATATACCTACAATAACAATGAATAAATGCTATTACATTAGAAATACGAATAAATCGAACAATTAAGATTCTGGATAAAAATCACTTCAACATATTTTTAGAAGCTCAATTTAGGTTTGTTCATCCTTTAAGTTTCAAAATCCTCAAAGCTGCAAAACCCACAAGGTAAAATTGTCGTCCTGCAAAAATTTACAATAGATAAAAAGTAGAATATATGTGTCAACCTCTGTCCAACTAGAAGGCGTGTGATGTTCTCTGTTAGATAGGTTCATAGATATTTCTAGATGGAAATTTTCAAAATATCAATGTCTCTATCATGGAATAAGTTCAACTCGGTATAACAATAACAATATTACAGTTTCCAAAGCGAAAAACACATAATAGAATTACATAAAAAGAAGATATGAAGAACTGAGGATGATGCATAAAAGTCCTAATAATATATTTAAGTACATGAGTACAAAATACATATGTTCAACCAGGGCTTAGATTAATTAAATCAAAGTTAGCAGTACTTGAAATAGTTTCATACAACTGCTTTCCATTGAACATTTACTTTGAAGGCCGAAAAGATGAAAGGTTCTGTGTTAACAACACTTGCACACGGATATAATTATATAGGAAAAGAGCCATTAAGATGGCTTTAAATGCAAAAAACAAGTTGGATTTTTTCATGGAAGAGTAAAAATGTCTGCAGCCAATTCTTCAGAAGTAACATTCGGGAGAGATGCAACAACATAATTCTTTCATGAATGCTCTATGAAATTAAGAAGAACCTTTCCAGCAGTCTCATCTATTGTGATAATCCTCAAACTCTTTGGTTAGAGTTGGAGGAGCATTTTTCACAAAGCAATTATCCATGAATTTATGAACTCACAAGAGTTATATGCAATAATCATCATCAGGAACAAAATTCGTTAGTTGTTTATTTTAATATGTTGAAATCCTATTGGGATGAATTAACTACATTTCCCTCAAAATCTGTTCGCACGTATGAAACTCAAAGTGAATTACAGGTGTAGCAAGAAGTACGAAAATTTTTCCAAACTCTAATGGGTCTTAAGTCTACATATGCACATATAAGGAGTCAGATTCTGGCTGTGGATCCTCTACCTAACGTTGGAAAAGCTTATTCCACTACGCATCAAGAAGAACATCAAACCCTTCTTCATATTTCAAAACAAACATCTCTTAAATCCACAGATCTTGCAGCCAATAGAAAATCTCACGTGACAAAACCAGCACATCAAAATCGGCAGAGCCTTGGACAAGGATGTGGCTGACCTTATTGATCACTGTGGAATGCATGAACATATAAAGGCAAAATGCTTTGAGATTATTGGCTACCCTCAGAACTGGAATAAACATATAGTGCTGCACCGGAAACTACTAAACCAAGGTAGCCAGATGAGCATGAAATTCATGCTGATCAAAGCTCTACTCCATCATCATCAAATTCAATCCAAGTTCCTGGTCTCACAAAATAGCAATATAAGTAATTGGTTACTCTTCTTTCTACAGAATTGCCACCTTTTGTTACAAACTTAACTGCTAAATACCTTCCCTCTTGTAATTCAGTTGCTAGTACTATTTCAACATCTTGGATAATAGATAATTGAGAAATTTTCATCTGTTGTTAAGAAAGTTGGGTTTATTCAATCTCATGTTAATCCTTGTTTGCTTACAAAGTCTTATAGTTCTCATTTTACAGTGATTCTTGTGTACGTTGATGATATCATAATAGGTGCCAATGATCAACCATTTATCGCAGTCTTGTTGATCTATTGTTTCCTCTTGTTTCCATGTTATCCTAAGCTTATCGGAATTTAGACCTAGTGTTGTACTAATTTATTTACACCACAGTACAGTCCCAAAGTAATGAGAATACAAGAAATTCTTTCATAATTTGACAATATAAACAATGACCGAATGGCAACAAGTCAACAATTCCATGAACCCCTAAATTATGTCAATAGTGAAAGCAGAAGTGAAGAGTCGACACAATTTCAGAAATTATGCATCACTGAACAAAAATGCATACCAAGTAGGCATCAAATTTGCAGCAATGAACAGCCAAAATCCGGTGGAACCAAGAATCAAAGCATTCTTTGTCCCAAGTTTCCTCACCACCAATGAAGCAACAACCGAAAAAACTGCAAATGATACATACGATATCCCAAGTGATATGGTACCCAAACTTCCTTCCTAAGGGAACCCAAGAAAAAATTATTAGAAATAATTGGCAAATCCCTTTTGAGGAAGTGAATTGCAACCAAAAACAGCAGAAACTATTGGCTGAGCTCTTGTCAGTTCACCAACACAGGTAAAAAATCCGAAATAAAACTCACTAAGATACGTCTTTCAATTCAAATGAATCATCAAAAATGAAAAAGTATTTAAGAAAATCTGAAATCGTGAAAATATGGAAGCTCACAGTATTGATGGTACTTTCTAAGTTTTGGACAGCATTATAAGCCAAGAAAATCAGAAGGAAAGCCCAGCAGAGAATATGAACATCTCTTTTGTGATTCAAAGTGTTAGTTGGTGAAGAGCTTTCAACAACCAGTGCTGTTTCTTCATCCATGGCCATTGACCAACAGAAGACACTCCAGTCCGAAGAGTACTAGCTTGAGAGAAGAAGACTGGGGACTAGTTTTTGAATTGTTGCCTCCGTTTGACACAAAATGCATTTTCACGTCACATCGCATGGGTACGCTACAATGTTTTTTGTTTTCTTGGTTAAATGAATTTTGTCGAAAATGACATATGTGCCCTCGTCTCATGGAATTCAAACCGTTGCCAAAAATAGAATGAAACAGGTGTTTGCATTCATGGAGGGATAGAATAGAGAGAAATATGTGCTTGCATTGTCAAATTGTTTACAGTGTTTTATCAGGTAAGTTACTACTCCAACGTTCCTTTTATTCTACAAATGAGGAAAAAAAGTGCCCCAATTTGTATTTAGCATCTGTTTCCCATCATTTTGGTGAACAAAACCAATTTGAAGAACAGTGGAAAATTATAAAAGGGTAATTAGCATATAACATCCACACCTTTCATTGTTATTGTGGAAAACGTTCATACCTTTCATTTTTTGGCATTTTCACCTTATTTCCACATTACATTGCGAAAAATTTATTTGGGACTCATTTTCGCTTTTCAAAAAAGTCGGGACTATGTTTGCAATTAATTTTTTTCTTTTTCCTTTTATTTTATTTAAATGGAAGGGTATTTTTGTCATTTTATAATTTTTAAATGAGAAAATTGATAAAATGACATTTTACACAATGAAATATGGAAATAAGGATGAAAATGTCAAAAAATGAAAGGTGATGATGTTTTCCACAATAACAATGAAAGGTGCAGACGTTATGTGCTAATTACCCATTATAAAAAAAGGAACCTGCTTTGACACTCTAATTCCCTTTTTTCAGAATGTTACTCTTCTTTTTTTTTATAGAATGAGGGCGTGCCTTCTAGATTTTATTAAACTGTCCTCACTTGTGACGGAGGAGTATTGTGATTACAAATGATATTAATGAAATCAATAAATGGGGAAATATTACTTCCCTTACAGTGAAAGCAAAAAAGGAGTACCTCCCTTACAAAAAGCACAAGTTAAATAAAAAATAAAAATAAAAGAAATACACAAATACAAATACTTAAACTCTAGTACTGGGCAAATCATATCTGTCAATCTGAAATTTCTTTTCATACTTTTCATTTTTTACTATAATTTTATTTTCATTATGTCAGACGTTGACCATAATTGCATGTTTGAATTTTCAAAATATGTATTCCTCTTAGTAGAACTGTTTACGTTTTTACGTGTTCAAATTGTCGAATTATTTCTCAAGTTTTGTATTACTCAAAACCGTAAACATACAACTAACAATCCAAAACGAAAAACAAAGTTTTTTTATTTTAATGTCAAATAGTGAAACTGTAAGCATTCGTGTTGCAATTTGCTGGCCTCAAGATCACACTGTCGTAGTTTATGCACCATATAACCACGCAGTTGGTCTCATGGTAAATCTTCATTTGCTATTACATCAACTTCTACTGCGACTTCGTCCTGCTCCGATAGGAGGTCTATTTCTACTTCGTCATCAGTTTACTGCTCTGCTCTACGAATTGCTTCGACTGCACTGTCGTTGCTCTTCAAAAAATTGTGCACTTCGCAACAATAACAAATGTTTGCACAGGAAACGAGTAGCTTGACATACGATCAAGAATTTTTCATCGCTGCTTCAATACTCCAAATGACTTCTCGACGGCATTCCTACATGACTAGTGATAAAAATTGAATCGTTCTCGTTCATCGAGAAATCTTCACTGTCTGCGTGTCGATACCGTTCAAAACTCCTAGAAATGATAACGAATATTCGATCCTTTATACGACGCCATATAACTCGGTCAGTGTGCAAATCAAGAGTCAACGAGATAGTACTTCCCAGGAACGGGAAAATTAAAATTCGAATTATGTATCACGTTCACCAAAAATACAATTGTCGTGCGTATTCCTTTATACCTAGGAAGCACGAACGTGAAGCATATGTTAAAATAGCATGATGCGAGCACGTTTTGCGTTCGAATTCCTTTTCTTCCTCTGAAATTCTCTCGTTCGTGGCGCGGTAAGACAACCCTCACGTGCGTACCATCAATTGATCCAATGCAGTCCTGATCACCATCAAACATTAAAATAAGTCATAATATCGGACGCATGTTACATTATAACGAAGACATAATGATACATATTGGCACAAATTCATGATATTGCTTCATCATCATAACTTGGAACAATGGATATTCAATAGGGTCCGAATGATGATGTCCGACTCCGTAATTGTATTATGGGTTGGGCTTGATAACATTTTCGGTGAATGTAACAACAGCTCGAAGCACTGCTTTGAAATGGTCGCCGATCGTCTGCAACGAATAGCCAAAAAGTATTTACACATGTCCTATCCTTTCCCATGTGCTAGGACGCACAGAAACATTCTAACTTGTTTGTAAATGTCGATATGAGCACTGCTTTGGAGGCCATACTCATCACGAACATGTGTGTGAAATGTGTGAACATACATGGGTACATTTGGAACTCTTGAAAACACGTTTGTGGATATGCATGCAAATTTTATAGCATGAAAATATGTCTGCTTCGTACACAAGGAAATTGAAATCTTGGTTTGTTTGAATGATGCAAGTAATCACGAACCATTTGTTCGGAAATGCGACAATATCCAAGCCACGTTTCGATATCCTCTTCGAGTTGTTACATAACAATCTCGTCGTCCGAAGTGTCCAACATATTGGAGTTTAGTTGAAGGTTGCCGTGCTGGAAACGATATTGTGACATGTGCGCTTTCGAGAATGCAGAAGGAAAGTATTACTTTAGTGATCAACAAAACGTGATTGTGGAGGGGGTTGCAAAAGGTATCTCTGGTGTCAAGTAGCTTGATTTCAATGAATTGTTCTGCGACCTATGCTTGCATATATATATTGGTCAGTAATAATGTTGTTCCATTCATGAAAGGACAATTGCAGGGAATCAATCCTTTTGTTAGATTTTTTGTATGACAATTGACTTCATATTATGAAAATGTGATAGATATGATGGATCACATTCTTATATTTCCCATGCCCAAGTACTAGTGAGATATAGGGATGAAGGCCATAATATGCACAAATAGTATGTAAAAAAGATATTGTGGCACGAGTAAGGCGAATGTGTGGACAGGCAAAGAAAAAATCCATAACCCAAATGAATCTTTGTTTACTTGGATTTTATTATCCCACCACTCGTCATCAGCCACAACGCAATTATCGACAGTTCTGTCATTCTCCACGACTGTGCAACGCAGTAGTTCGAATAACAACTTGTAATCGAGCCGCATTTACTGCAAGTGATTTCTCAGTTGGAGATTGTCCAATTCTTGTTTGCCTTTTGGTTGAAAAGCGATAGAATGAGATTCTAGTCGGGCTTTGTGAAGTACTTGCCATGACGAAGACCTTTCGCGATAGCCAATTCACATGCAGCCATGAAAATTTGATGCTCATTTACTGCCCATTTCACCATTCTACATACAGGCACCTCCGGTTGCAAATCCACAGGGTCTTTCATGGCAGTTGAGATGGAGCGACAGTTGTATAGCTCTACAGACTACAAGAGCGAAAATAGGGTAGATGATTACAGACGAAATGAAAGAGGTTGAAACAATAATTGCACATAGACACTGCAGAAAAACGTGGTCATTACCATATGATGAGGATAGTTCCACTGATGCCCGAGGAAGCCATCCATTTCGATGAAATCGATAGGTACGTACTTCAGTGGAGGATCTGTACACGAATGAAAAAATTTGTAATCAATAACATAGTCGAAAATGTATGAGAGAATCAGCAAGAACATAGGGAATGCAATGGAAATCGAGAAAAAAATGTAATGGAAACTTTAAATCTGTCGAAGATAGACTTTCCTGTCAAGGCATCTTCTTCGTCGAAATCAAGCAATATTTACGGTGGAGCCCTAAAATCCAGGAAATGCGAACATTTTGGGCAACACCTTATCATTAGTGTGTATATCTGTGTTGTGTTTCACTGTCTCCATCCACGAGCGGATCCAAGATCCAAAAATTTTTGATTAAGGAGAGAGAGAAGCTTGGATTGGAGATTTGATGTGGTTGGTGGGGTTGAATAGGGGTTAGGTGAAGTTATAGTGAGGGTTGAAAGTGGAAATAGGTGGAGTAAATGTTTGAAAGTGGGAATCCTGCTTTCAGACGCCTAGCCTTTTTTTTAATTTTTCACTGTTCTTAAATTTGTTGTCGTTCACCAAAATGGTCGGCAAACAGACGCTTAGATTAGTGTTGTAATGTTTATATTTAACATATTTTAATTTAAGTGTTACAGTAAGTTTGTGTCCTTAATATTGGAGTTTGAAACAAATCAAATCGTAACATGATTTAATTTGATTTGAATTTCTTTCCATTCGTGTAGAAAAATTTGGTTTTAAAAAGCAATGCTGGTGAAATCTCAATAATAAAAAATGAAGTTACAAAATGAATAGGAAGATGATGAAATCGGATGAACTAAGGTGTGAATATCTCACTCTCTTTAAAGATTCAAGTCCCCTATGATAGGCAAAGTCTAAAACACGGTGCAATAGAACTATATAACTTGTCTCCTTCAGGATGCAACATCCCGACTATTCATCATATGGCTCAAACAAACTTTGCACAAGCAATTCAGCTCAAAGATCCACTAAAAGAAACACTCTTCTTTGCTCAATAATCTCTCAAATAAAATGAGTGAAAATGTAAAGAGAAAAACTAAAAGAACCTTGATTGTTGTGGCAGTGATGAATGACCAAGGAATTTTTCTATTTATAGGGAAAAATATGTTACCCAAAATAAAGAGAGGTCATAAACACATACCTTTCACCTTTCCAAACATCCAACCACTTCATTTTCCTAATTCCCAAAACCTACAAAACCATTAAATAAAAAATTAAAA